GTGTTAGCTCCTGCTAATGGTGTTAGCTCCTGCTAGCGGTGTTAGCTGCTGCTAATGGTGTTAGCTCCTGTTAGTGGTGTTAACTCCTGCTAATGGTGTTAGCTCCTGTTAGCGGTGTTAACTCCTGCTAATGGTGTTAGCTTCTGCTAATGGTGTTAGCTCCTGCTAATGGTGTTAGCTCCCATTGAGCCTCAAGGACTCATTTACAAGAGAGACCTGATTTCAACAAAGAAAGATGACAACAATGGACAACAGCAACAACAATAAACAGTTAGCTGTTAGCTAACTTAGGTGTTAGGTTAGGTGTTAGCTCCTGTTAGCGGTGTTAGCTCCTGTTAGTGGTGTTAACTCCTGCTAATGGTGTTAGCTCCTGTTAGCGGTGTTAACTCCTGCTAATGGTGTTAGCTTCTGCTAATGGTGTTAGCTCCTGCTAATGGTGTTAGCTCCCATTGAGCCTCAAGGACTCATTTACAAGAGAGACCTGATTTCAACAAAGAAAGATGACAACAATGGACAACAGCAACAACAATAAACAGTTAGCTGTTAGCTAATTTAGGTGTTAGGTTAGGTGTTAGCTCCTGTTAGCGGTGTTAGCTCCTGCTAACACCAGTAGATCACAAGTCGATGTGGTTTATTTGTTTCGACAGATGTCTCGTGTATCGAGACGTTTTGTGGGCCTCCACGACAGAGAAAGTGCTGGATTTCCAAATCGGAGCCAAATCACCAACAGGTAATTAAAAACACAATTATGCACACAGCTCACAAATTTGACGTTTTTATATTTGTCTTCTTTTTGATGCATTCTCTTTATGTAAGACAAAGTTATAATTTCTCTGGGTCTTTCTTGCACTTTGGTATGAAGTATAAAGAATATGGGCATAAACAGTTATTCATTAGTGTTGTTCATCTTTCATAATTTAGGCTTGTTAACAAAATAATGAACTAAGCACCACTCCAGGCCTCATGGCCTCTCGCAGTAATATAAACACACTCCACATACTTTCTGAAGTGAGAAAGCCTCCTGGATGTGAATCAAAATGTCGTCACAGCCAAGTCCAGTGTTTTCAGTGAAACCTTTTCCTGGATGACTGACAGAGCACACCAGCATATTTTCACAGAATTAGTGTGACTAAGAAGTTCCCAACATTTTTGTGCTTACCTCAACTGTTACCTCAAAACATCCATTAAGTTACTGGTTTTAACATTTTGTTTCTCACTATGGTGCTGGATTTCACCAAGAGAATGGAAATGGCTGTAGTCAACACCTGTTTCCAAAAGAGGGAGGAGCATAGAGTGACCTGTAAGAGTGGAGGAAGGAGTACGCAGGTCGACTACATTCTGTGTAGAAGAGGAAACCTGAGGGAGACTGGAGACTGTAAGATGTGGCAGGAAGATGGAAGGAGAACTTTGAGGAGCTGATGAATGAAGAGAATGAAAGAGAAAGAAGAGTAGAGGTCATAGAAACTGTGGAGCAGGAAGTGGGAAAGATTAGTGAGGGTGAGAAAATGTCTGAGGAATGGAGAAGAAGTGCTGGTGGCCATTTTTAAGAACAAGGTGATGTACAGGGTCGTAGCAACTACAGGGGAATTAAGTTGATGATCCACACGATGAAGATCTGGGAGAGAGTTGTGGAAGCAAGACTTAGACGAGAGGTGACTATCTGTGAGCAACTGGATGGTTTCATGCTGAGAAAGAGCACCATAGATCCATCTTTGATTTGAGGATGATGATGGAGAAGAACAGAGAGGGTCAGAAAGAACTCCATTGTGTCTTTGTGGATTTAGAAAAAACATCTGACAGCAGGACATGTACAAGGACAGCAGGACATGTATGAAGACAGCAGGACATGTATGAAGACAGCAGGACATGTATGAGGAAAGCAGGACATGTACGAGGACAGCAGGACATGTATGAGGACAGCAGGACAGTGGTGAGATGTGCTGTAGGAGTGACAGATAGCTTCAAGGTGGAGGTGGGAGTTCATCAAGGATCAGCTCTGAGCCCCTTCTTGTTTGTTCTGGTGATGGACCGACTAACAGATGAGGTCAGGCAGGAATCCCTGTGGACGATGATGTTTGCAGATGACATTGTGATCTGTGGTGAGAACAGGGAACAGGTGGAAGAGAACTTGGAGAGGTGGAGGTATGCACTTGAAAGAAGAAGAATGAAAGTCAGCCGTAGTAAGACAGAGTCCATGTGTGTGAATGAGAGGGAGGAGGTGGAACAGTGAGGCTCCAAGGAGCAGAGGTCACAAAGGTGCAGGACTTCAAGGACTTGGGGTCCATTGTCCAGGAACATGGGGAGTGTGGTGAAGAGGAGAAGAAGAGAGTCCAGGCAGGATGGAGTGATGGAGAAAAGTTTCAGGAGTGATTTGTGACAAAAGGGTGGACGTGTCCAGAGGAGGGACAGTAGTTTGAGCATGCATCAGGATTTTTACAAGACAGTGGTGAGACCAGCTATGTTGTATGGTCTGGAGACAGAGACATGGACAAAAAGACAGGAGACATAACTGGAAGTGTCAGAAATGAAGATGTTGAGGTTCTCCTTAGGAGAGACAAGGATAGAGAAGATCAGGAATGAGATCATCAGAGGTACAGCACAGGTTGAACAACTGGGAGTTAAAGTTAGAGAGGACACACTGAGATGGTTTGGACATGTCCAGAGGAGGGACAGTGGTTTGGACATGTCCAGAGGAGGGACAGCGGTTTGGAATGTCCAGAAGAGGGACAGTGGTTTGGAATGTCCAGAGGGTTGACAGTGGTTTGGAATGTCCAGAGGAGGGACAGTGGTTTGGACATGTCTAGAGGAGGGACAGTGGTTTGGACATGTCAAGAGGAGGGACAGTGGTTTGGACATGTCTAGAGGAGGGACAGTGGTTTGGACATGTCCAGAGGAGGGACAGTGGGTATATTGGTAGAAGGATGTTAGATGCAGCTGCAGGAAAAAGACAAAGAGGAGACATATGGATGCAGTTAGAGAGGACATGGAGGTAGTTGGAGTGAGGACAGAGGACACAGAGGACAGAGTGAGATGGAGGACAATGACTCTCTGTGGAGACACCTGAAGAGGGAAAAGCTGAAAGAAGAAGAAGTGCTTTAAAGCCCCCAGTTGCAGACAAACGTGGCCCCTCTGCCCCCTACCTGTGAACAGGAAGGTGTTGGTGTGTCCGCCGATGACCACGTCCACGCCGCGCACCTTCTGGGCCACCCGCTGGTCCACGATGAAGCCCGAGTGACCCAGAGCGATGATCTTATTGACACCCAGTGCCAGCAGCTTGTCCACCTGTGGCTGCAGAGCGCTCACCTCGTCCTCGAACTGCAGGTGAGGTCCTGATGGGAAACACAGCAGGTGAGACAGGTCTGACCCTCCAAACACTAAGACAGGGACAGGTGAGACAGGTCTGACCCTCTAAACACTAAGACAGGGACAGATGAGACAGGTCTGACCATCCAAACACTAAGACAGGGACAGGTGAGACAGGTCTGACCCTCCAAACACTAAGACAGGGACAGGTGAGACAGGTCTG